GCCTCAGGCCCTGCTGATTGCTGTTCACTGCAGGCTTCCGCCCACTCCCTCCTCCCAGGACAGACGCAAATCCTCCTGGACTGGCCATTTGCACATGGCCCGCCACCCCAACAGCCCCTGGCAGGCTTCACGGAGATGCTGAGACCCCGTCCTGGCTGACAGAAGGCCGAGGAGCCCACCCGATCTGCCCCTGGCTCTGTAGATTCCAGAGATCTTGCTTCTTCCAGCTGAGAGGGAGGAGGTGGGGAGGAAGATAGTGGGGAAAGAGAAGGGCCTGGGAAAGAGAACGGGATCTCATGGGATGTGGGCGCAGGCAGTGTGGACACAGGGAGTGCCCGCATATGAATGATGGGGTAGGACACACACACTCTCCCATGGACCTCAGAGGGGAGTCCCAGAACGTCCTCAAACGGGCCTTTAACAAGAGAAGATGCTAAGGTTCCAGGCTGATCGCTGGGGAGCAGAATGTGTAGGGTAAGCTGTGTAGACACCTCCTCTTGTGTGAATGGAGGAGATGGGAGAGTGGAGCTGATCTGGAGAGCCAGCAGGCAGGGCTGCAGAGGGGAGGATGGAGATAGACGGGGTGGCGAGCCAGGGAAATAGGGATGCAGGAGTGGAGCAGAGGGTGAGTCAGAGCTGGCTGTGGGACGAGAGAGGGAGACAGGCCCATGCCAAGGCCACGAATCTCCTAGCTGTCACCAGCTCCTTCCCTGACTGACCCCAGCTGCCCTCCCTCCATTCATTCCCCAGACCTAGTGGCAGGGCAGATAGAAGGAGGGAGGAAGGGGCCAGCATCTAAAACTTGAGGTCGTATGTTCGTGCGAGGGTCTCTATGAGAATCCCCAGTAGAGACAGAGAAACTGAGGTAGAGAAGCAGGGTTGATGGCAGGACTCAGAAGCAAAGGCCAGTGCTATGGGCCTGTAAGTTAGAGCACAAGGGTCTGTTGAAAGCTAGAGAGTCACAAAGAGTTTTAAGTATTTAGTGAGAGTCAGATTATCTTTTTTAAAAGCTTCTGGTGATTCAAGCCCTCCCTATGCCCTGAACAGAAAATGTT